ATTGTGAGCACGCAATAGCGCCAGTTCACTGGAGTTGTGAGCAATGCTGCGAGCGTTATAGGGGGTGACCTGAGGGAGGGCATTGGTCTTGGGAGTGGGAGGTAGGCTGCCTGCGGTTGCTTTGGAGTACCGGAAAGGAGCTGTTGTAGTCCTGTGGGAGGTATGATGCGTTCTGTTGGCCTCCTTGGTGCCATGCTTCCTGGGACTGGTTAAACCTGGATGCATCCTCGAAGGAGGTCCCTCGTTGGACAGCCATCGAGGGGATATTCATCACTCTTTGAGCCCTTTGTTGTTTGTGTTTTTGGCTCTGCGCTGCAATGCATCGCCTCATGCCGTTGTTTTTCCTGGACAGCTCAATTTTTACACGTCGCCTACCCACCCTTGCAATTTTAAGGGCCTCCTTATTGTTTGGGGCCTGGGCAAGGTCAATGAGCCAAACGTTTTGATTTGGAGTATCCCGCCTGACTCCGTCGGCATTGATGATGGGGCTTCTTCTGGACTTCGGGTTATATAGATTTACCACCCGATTCCCCAATTCCACAAAGGTCTTGTTTATAGTTTTCTTTGGAGTGGAAGCTGCTAGATTTTTAGCCACTACATGGTAGGCCCTGTCTTTGGAGAGACAGAAGTGGGTATATTGCTCCTGCAGGGAATTTAGGACCCTGATCACCTGCCTGTGAGTGTCAACGTCCTTGGCATAGCTTTTGAGGTCGCTGAGGGAGCCGTGCGGAATTCGTAGTCCCCTTCAGGGATCGGAGGGCTCAGGGCAGCCTCGTCGGCAGCAATGTCCAGAACCCCAGAGATCGTAATTGGCTTTGGTTTCCTAGGCTTTTTCGGGACTTGTTTAGCTTGCTTTGGCTAAGTGGATGTGTGTAACGTTAGAGAAGGAAACGTTTCCGAGATAAGATAAAACAAAAAACGCAGTATCGTAGAGAATGACTATATCTAGCAGATTGCCGGATCTGGATCAGATCGGAATAATATTATAGCCAGAATGAAGAAATTAATTTTCAGTTGCTTCCCCACCTCGCACACACTTTGCCCTTTGCAATGCACGAACTTTGCGGCGAAGATGATAAATTTACATTGTATATATCCACATTTTAGATGTGGAATCGACATTGTAGATGGAGATAACAGATGTAGCAAAGCTTTGTAGAGCTTTTATTTAAGCCATACCACGGGAAGAAGGTACGGCATTGTGTCCAGAGCGTCGACTGGGGTAGTATGCAGTCCGCAAGTTATACATAGCACTGCCTTGCGTTGAACTCGGATTAGATTATTTAACAAAGTTTTCTTGTCTAGGGCTGGCCACCAAACCAACACACCAACATCCATCATGATTGGCCGAATGACGGGAGTGTAGAGCCACCAAACTATACACGGGGTCATTCTTCAATTAAGTCCGATGGTCTTTCTGCAGGAATAGAGGGCCACTGTGGCATTCTATACCCTATTCTCTATGCTCAGTTTCCAGTCAAGCATTCTGTCGAGGGTCAGGCCCAGATACTTATTATTGTTGCGTTGTGCCTCTGCTGACAAATCTGGTGCACGTTGACGTCCCCATTGAAGTAATCTGATCGATAAAGCTTACCGGGAATCAATCCCCAGGTCCGTGAGTGCACCCGTGATGGCGGTCGGGAGGATGTTGTTAAGCGTGAGTTCTATGTCAAGGAAGGCGTATAGTTGAGGAACGCTTTACATCGCAACCAGGAAAGTGAGTGTTGAGGAAAAGGTTTAACGACTCATTACTGTACGTTGTCCAGGACTGATCGTCTTTCTTCGGGAAGCCTAAGGTGGGTGTTTTCGTCGAAAGAACTCTGAGCAAGTGCGAAGTTTCTGAGGTTCTCGCTGTAGAACTTACGCCATGAGGCGTGTTTGACTTTCCGAAGTTCCTTGTTGTAGTTCTGCTCAAAATTTAGATCTTTAGCTCTGTTGAAGAGTCTGCGTGAGGCTTTATTTAGACATATATGTGAAAAAAGTATTTTATAAATTCTTTAGCAAAATAAATGGAAAGGGACATTTAAACATTTATATCAAACATGTGGAGCTTTCCTATGCATTCGCCAATCTAATCTGGTAAGGTTCTTGTATGGGCCGCTTTTTGTGTCCTTGACAATATGCTCTGACAAATGCTCTGACAAATTTCTGTAATATCAGCTGGAGCTGCTGAGTGTTAATTACAACTTGGCGTATTTCAAAAAAACATCGAGTTGAGTCCTGGCCTGAACAAGAAGCTTACTTACCCTTTGTTGATAAACTCGCCAAATTTTCGTGTACTTCTGTACATTTATTGACTAGACAACGTAATAGGTACAAATACCAAACATTTGGCTGTCGCACAGTGGGGCCTCAGCCGAAACCAGGTGAAAAACTTAATGAGAGCTTTAAATGATGCAACTTTATGTAACGTATAATTCTTGGTTTAGTCTCTTTGTATTCTTTGTTAATATTTTTCAATCAAAAATATTTTCTGGCGAATCGCAAATTTGATGACCAGATCTGTTACTAGAAAAATATTCTGAATATTATTCTTGATATTCTTGGATCATGGTCAAATTGTAATTGAACATCAGTGCCTAACAATTGGACGTCAGAGGAAGCCCAGGAAACGAGAAACAAGGATTGTATATATTTAAATACTTGCAAGATACATATGTACACATGTGCACTGGAACGTGCATTGATATATAGTTTCAATCATACTAATAGAAAGGGAAATCAGACTTGCATTCCTTTCTTAGCAGCTATACCTGGTATACTCATGGATAATGTAACGCTTGTAGCAGCAGCCAGAGTTTTGGCGGCTTGGCCAATGTACGCTCTATCTGTCGTTTGGTATAACTCTTTATTTCTTAATATTTTATTACAATGTCTTGTCGCGTGTCGTCGTAGTTGCTGAAGCTGCTAACTTGTCGAGAGTCCGTTGCTGGAGCTGCCATCTCGTCTCGAGGTTGTTGCTGGCCCTGCCAGAGGGCCGCGATCCGGGTTGCCACAGTACTCCCCCTACAAAAGTGCCAAATCTTTAGGTTTGATTTTTCTTTGCATATGTCCGCGGCACATTCGACTGCTGATCTTGCGTAGGACTGGTCTCGTCGTTTGCTATAAATGCTGGCTTAAGCCGGTCGATTGAAATGGCTGTCTCCTTTCCATTAATCCGAATCAGGAAAACCCGGTCTGATGACTTGGATATAATCGGGTATGGTCCCGCGTACGGCGGCTCCAAGGGTTGTTTCACCGCATCAGTTCGGACGAAGACATGTGAGCAATTTTGAATGTTTTTAAGCAGGAAGAGTTTATGTGTGCTGTGATGCGAAGTTGAGTTGGCTTCACCACCTGCATTCTTTTCCGGAACTGACTGGCAAAGTCGAGTGGGTTCGAAGGCGCGTCTAGGTCGTAAAAGAATTCGTTTGGAAGGCGTAGAGTACAACCATATAACATTTCTGCTGCTGATGCCTTAATGTCCTCCTTGAAGCATGTGCGGAGGCCCAGCATAACGGTCGGAAGCAGCTTGGTCCATGGTGTATCCGGTTGGCACATCAAAGAGGCTTTCATAGTCCTGTGCCAACGCTCGATCATGCCATTTGACTGGGGGTGGTATGGCGTCGTGTGAATGTGCTCGCTTCCCAGCATATTGGCCAGTGATTTGAAGAGTGCCGACTCGAATTGAGCTCCTTGATCGGTTGTAATAGTCAATGGGCAGCCGAAACGTGAAATCCAGCGCGAACATAATGCCTCAGAAATGGTCTCTGCAGTTATATCCTTTAATGGCACAGCCTCTGGCCAGCGAGAAAAGCGGTCGATCATTGTCAGGCAATATCTGTATCCGTTAACCAAGGGCATCACGACAATGTCTAGATGTATGTGATCAAACCTTCCATCGGGAACGGTGATCTTTTCCGGGATCATAGCGTTGTGCTTATGAATTTTGGCTCGTTGGCACGGGAGGCAGTTCCTTGACCACTCCAGAACATTTTTGCGCATTGACGGCCACACGTATTTTCGAGAGATTTGTCTTAGAGTTGACCTGCCACTTGGGTGCGACAGTCCGTGTACGTTTGAAAATACATGGAATCGCAAGGACTGGGGAATATATGGCCGAGCTGTTCCTGTTCCCATATCGCAATATAGGATATCATCGTTGACTGGAATCGCTTGTAGATTTAAAGATGTGTCGCCATTTAAAATCTCAGACAGCTCGGTGTCCGTTGCCTGGGCAGTTTCAATAGCTTTTGTGTCCAGAGTCGTCGGCATCGTGATGGCGTTAATCCTGGAGAGGGCATCGGCAACCACGTTATCAGTGCCACTCACATGCAAGATTGTAGTTGAGTGTTGGGATATGAACCCCAGCTGTCGCAGCTGTCTCTCTGAAGCTTTTTCTGGTTTCTGGTTGAAGGCGTATTTCAGCGGCTTGTGATCAGTCTTAATCACAAAAATCCTGGCCTCCAACATGTGTTTGAAATACTTTATAGCCTCGTAAATCGCTAAAAGCTCCCTATCATAAGTGCTGTACCTTCTTTCAGTAGCGCTGAGTTTTTTGGAGAAGAAACCGAGAGGCTGCCATTTCCCTTTCGTATTTTGTTCAAGTACCGCTCCAATGGCTGTGTCGGAGGCGTCACAAGTGAGACTTAGTTCTGCATTAAGACTGGGATGAGCGAGGGTTGCGGCGTTAGCTATGCTATTTTTGCAATTGTCGAATGCTTTAATCGAGCTTGGCGTCCACTGCACTGGTCGTTTGTCATTTTTCTTCATGTTGCGTGTCAAATCGTTGAGTGGCGCCTGGATCTCTGACGCATGAGGTATGCAGCGACGGTAATAGTTAACTATACCAAGAAAGCGACCTAATTCGCAAATAGTTTGTGGCCGAGTGTACTCAGTGATCGCCTTGACTCGATCCTCTGGGGGTTTAATTCCGTTACCGTTAACTGTGTAACTTAAGAACGTCACTTCAGGTTGTGCAAAATGACACTTCTTCTCGTTGATGCAAAGTCCATGCGCTTTTAAGATTTGTAGAATCCTATCCACGTGTTGTCTGTGCTCCTCCACTGAGTTGGACAAAAGACGTATTCAACCGCTTGGAAGATCTGATCCATGAAACGCTGGAACGTTTGTGTCGCATTTTTCAGTCCAAATGGCATTTTTACGAATTCAATTAGCCCGAACGGTGTGCATACCGCTGTTTTTTCGATGTCCTCTGGGGCCATCGGTATTTGATAGTATGCTCGTTCGAGGTCTAGTGTAGTGAAAACGCTTTTGCCATATAGTCGGTCGGCAAAATCGTGAATGTGGGGAATCGGGTAACGATCTGGAACGGTGATGGCATTAAGCTTGCGATAGTCGCCGCAAGCCCGCCATCCACCACTGCTTTTTGCTACCATGTGCAACGGGCTGGCCCATGGACTTTTGGAGTATCTGCAGATTTTGTTGTCGATTAGTTGATGTATCTGTGCTTTAGCCACAGAAAGTTTCTCTCCCATGAGTCGCCTGGGCCGATCTGCTACGGGTGCTCCAGTTGTTGTTATGTAGTGGCGAACTGAAAGTGAATTGGATGAGTTCATGTTGTCGATGTGTAGGTGCTCGCCTTGCTCCGTTTTATCGTCATTTGGCGAAGCAAAATCCTGCGAGATTACGGATATGCTTGTGCCGTTGGTAAGACGTTGTTTCTTGATGTCAACGAGCAAATGGAACTGTGCTAGGAAGTCAGCGCCAATTATTGCCGATTGTACATCAGCGACGACAAATGACCATTTGAAGGAACGATCCAGGCCCAGGTCGAGTTCCAGGTCCTGATGTCCAAAGGTTCGTATGGTAGTCTGGTTCGCGGCATACAATTAAAGTTTACTTTCTCTAAGTTTGCGTTGAGCCATGGCGCAGGGTATAACTGACACCACCGGAATCGATGAGAAACGTCCGACTAGTGTTTTGATCTTGGATGTGCAGTTGAGATGCTACCGCCTACCAGCTGAGTTAGCGGTAGCAGCTTTAGTTTAACTGTTGATAATATCGGCAGTCTGGGCGGCACTTGCGTGCCCGATCACCGAACGTGATGTGGTAGTAGCAAAGGGTTGCATTGTTGACATCATTGTTTGCGCTCGTGCCATTTACTGGCTGAGGAACCTTGGGCTTCTTGGCGGCGTGCGTGTCGTGTTGTAGCTTATCCACCTTCTGCGTTAGAATATGCAGAGCAGCAGCAACGTCTTTTAAATTTGGATTGTTGCTACTTACCGCCTCCACGCTGTGCTGCCTTTGCTCAGCGGGCTTGGGTTGAGTCGACATAACACCTATTGAGTCGATAGCGCTGTTTTCGAGCATCTTGTCGGCAATCTTTGCCAGCTTGTCCAGGTCGTTCTCCTCCCAAACCGAAATGAGTGGGCGAATCGACGAAGGTAACTCAGTGAAGAAAAGGTTTCGTATTACGGCTTCGCACCCACTAGCAGGTGCTAAGCGACGCAAGTGAGTCAAGATCTCCGACGGCTTCTTCCCAGTCATGTCGCCACCCCGGAGGAGTCGTCTCATTTTCGAATCCTCTGATTCGCCGAAAGTTTCGAGCAGCCGACGCTTCATTGCGTCGTACTTGTTGTCAGTAGGTGGCCGAGTAATGAGATCTTCGATTGCACGGGCTGCATCTTCCTCCAGTTGTACTGACACCAGGTCAAACTTGTTGTCGTCGCGCACCACATTGTGTAAACTAAGGAGGCGCTCTAGTTGCGCGAACCAAAGTGTCGGATTCGATTTGTTGAATTTTGGGATGACGATTTGAGCTAAGTTTTGAGAATTTGCAGCTGTTGGCTGTGCGTTTACTAGTTGAAGTTGCTGCAGTTGCTCTCTTAACTCGTTTAGTGTGGCCTCCGTGTTCGCCATGTTTGTTGCGTCGTAGAACTTGTCGTCTTCTGCCGGTTTGCTTTTGGTCGAAGAACGCAAAAAATAGTGCTGATTTTGCATTTGCCGTTGTTTTTTAACTTTGGCGGCTTGGCCAATGTACGCTCTATCTGTCGTTTGGTATAACTCTTTATTTCTTAATATTTTATTACAATGTCTTGTCGCGTGTCGTCGTAGTTGCTGAAGCTGCTAACTTGTCGAGAGTCCGTTGCTGGAGCTGCCATCTCGTCTCGAGGTTGTTGCTGGCCCTGCCAGAGGGCCGCGATCCGGGTTGCCACAGAGTGTGCGAGGGTGGCGCTCGCTGTCGGCCAGGGGGGAAAAAGGTGGCGCCCTCTAGGGCTCAGAGCGAATGATCAGGGCACGGAATTTTTCGGAGGGAAAGAGAGTAACAGGGACAAATTTCAGGCCTTTCACTCAGTGGCCCTTAACCTTTCCGATTCCATGAGGTTGGCGCTTGAAAGGAAGCGTCTGGCTCGATCTCTTGTTTTTGGTCCCCCAGTCAGTGCGGTTGTGCGGAGTGGAAGAACTTCCGTTTTTATACGCGCATACACACAAGTAAAGGGCAAAGTGGTTGTGAAAAGGTCCAGAAAGGAGGAGGGCTATTTTTGGGTAGAATTTCGTTGAATTGGTGAGAATAAACAACTAAAGTTTGAAGGCGACAACGTCTAATTCCATCGCATTCCAACTCCATCGCAGATCTTGGCGCCCGTTAGCCATCGCTGGGCAGAGGCGACGCAGCGAAGAGGTGCCCTTAAATTGAGTACGGAGTTGGCGGATCGCTCCCGCTGTCCAGGAGAAAATCAGCAGAGGAGTCCCGCTCCATCACATAGGAGGCGGCGGTCAACACACGCAAAAGCTCGGACGAGCCCATTTTTTTCGCATATCCCTTGCGCCTGCCTGTTCGTTCAATACCAGCCGCGCTCGCGATCAGCAGCTTAGGGAACAAGGGAAAAGGGGATTAGCAGAAATTTTAGCAGGCAGAGCTAGCGCTTAGCGGATGGCTAGTTAGTGCCGTGGACGTGTAGTGAGAAAGCTGCGTCGGACGACCCTTCGCTATCGGGAACGAGGGAATCGAGAGAGACCCCCTTGTGGATCCGGGCGGCGAATCTCCCGAGGCTTATCAGATGCCCAAAAATAATTTTATTTCTTTTTTGTGACTAGTTCGTGTATTTTTTTTTGTTATGTTTAAGTTGAAAGAAAATTAATGTTCTAGTTTAACCGTTACGTTTGTGTCGCAGCCAGTTAGGCAAGTGTTTGTGCAATGAGCCATGAGAGCGAGAGGTCAGGGAATGCGCGTTAAAAATATGTTGTATCTGTCCCAGTATTTTTCCTCTCTCCCGTTTTCTCCCTGTTAAAGTTTCAGCAGTACGTCGGTGAAAGCGCTTTCTTCGATGGACTCCTGACAAGGGTGAGTGTTTTTTGGCCACCTAAGTCGGCATTTTTGTATATTGGACATATAACATTTATACGCGGATTTAATTGAGCGGATCTGCCATCAAAGTTTACGCGCAGCACTTCTTGCTAGCTATAGAGCACGTTCCCAAGAGTAAAAACATTCGATTAATTGCCTATTAATTGCGCGTTTAAATATTTATTCATATTAGTTCGTAATGATTCATATTTATTATTATTTGTTCGTATTAGTTCATATTGGTTCAATCTTAGTCCACTCATTTCCATTGTAGTTTAAGTATGTCAGTATGTTCAATTTTTCTTTAGAATTTAGAATATATTTTATAATGTTTTAATTTGCTTTTATTTTGCCTTAGCTAGCATTCTCCCCAAGTAGACATCCCTAGGCATAAGGGGCCATTCCATCTTTAAGGAAGGCGGCTTGGAATGGCCAAGGTAGGGCGGGCGACACCATCTCAATGACAACAGAGATGTAGGCAAAGCTCCTCGCAGCACAGCCTCAAGCTTTCTTTTGTACTTCAGGGATAAATAGTCCCTCCCGGTTTAGTTTCGTCGTAGCACGCTAGATTATTTTCGGTATGATGAGAATAGGCCACCAGCATGATGGGGGTGGGGGGCAAAGATCATCAAGATCACGAGCAGAATCCGGAAACCTCGAGCGCGCGCTTCCCCTCACTGACCAACAACTAGCCTGGGATAATTCATATATTTGTGTTCGTGGGTAGGCAGGTGAGACGTTACAATGAATAAACATCTAAATGTATAGAACAGCTATTAATAGTCTTTATTGGCACATCTAACAGCATATCAGCATATATCTCTGACATGCCTATTTTCTTTTGAGCGATTAACATTGTAAAAATATCATCAAAATTCTTAGTTGAAGAGTTGGGAATTGCATATAAAGCAATTTTTTGTTTGTAGAAATATGATTATGTTTCTTTTAATACTCTAGCGATGCCTATATGAATTTTAAAATATAGTTTGAAAAAATTTTAACAATCTATTACAAGTTTACTCTTAAATGGTTGGCTGTTAAAATTCCTTTAATATCTAACGATTTTAAATCTTTTAAATCAATGAAAAAAATAAGTTTTTTTAGATCTTAGTAAAGAAATGCAACAACACAACGAAGGGTATTTCTTTTGTACTCTTGATCGTCAAAACATGGACGAAATTGCCGTCAGCGCGATGCTTCTGCGTTTTCAGTTTCAGTCACTTGTCAAGCTTTGTCGAAAGCACATAATTTCTGAAATCTAAGTATATAAAAATCTATATAGTGTTATTTAAAAATATCTAAGAGGAAATTATTGTATATTTAATCTACATAACACTTCGTGTCCGTTAGTCGATGTTAAAAAATCTAAAATTATAAAAAAGCAGACTGAACATTCATATATTGATGATAAATATATATGTATGTGGGAAATTAAAATCCAACCATTAAATTCGTTCCAGCAGCGATTAAAACAAACAAAAAATTATACAGAAAACAATTTTGTAGACGATCAATTAAAAATGTTAATAGTGTAAATTTGAATATTTATTTAAAATAATATGTACAGTAAAGCTTAAGCTGGTAGTTAACACAGATGATATTCAATTAAATTTAATAAATCACAAAAAACTATAAGAAATAATTAAAAAAATAGAACGCAATTAAGTAAGTATACATATGTGCATTTATATATATGTATATCAAGTTACATAGGTGGTGTGGATAGGAACTTGATCAAATTTGATTAAACGGTCAAAAATACTCGTACACAGGAAATGTTGTTTATTTATAATTTTCACATATATATTTTTATTATACATTCTCTTTGGCTTTTTTTTAAGATCACAAACGCTCACATATACAAAATTATAGTGATGCAGTATATTAATAATATGTACACACATACATTTCTCACAAGCAAGCAATTTGTTCACTAAATATCATATTCTTTTATCGGAAAGCCGAATCCGTCCGTCCGCACACGGGACAGACCACCACTAATTGATTTCATATAGTCGTAATGTTTTAATGTTTTAATATCCACATAAAAAAAATATATTTAAAAAATATGTAAAAGAGTATGTACATATGATTGTATTGATATTTTGTTGGTGTAAAACATGATAGCTACTTTAATCGCAAATATTTACGTTTGTGTATGCATGAATGTTACATAGAAAACTGTCTCTTCATTCTAAATATAATCCGAATTGGAAAAATGCGGTACAATTTTTCCAAGACGCAATTCCATAATTTTAAGATACCAAAGCTTTTTATATCCGTATTCGAAGAGTTAAGGGGTATATTGTATTTGTGGATGTGTGTAAAGAGAAGGAACCGTTTCCGTTTAAAATTTTGACACGCCCCTATACGCCCCGCAAAGGATAAAAATCTGTGACATCCAAAAATTTTTAAGATACGAGAAAACTAAAAACGTAGTATCGTAGAAAACTACCATATCTACCAGATTGGCAGATTTCAATCAGATCGGATCATTATTATAGTGAGAATAAAGAAATTAATTTTCAGTTGCTTCCCCCACCTCCTCCAGCTTGAGACAACGCTACTCATTCACTTTCTCGCTCGCACACACTCTGCCCTATTGCCCTATTCTCCGAGACTATTACGGAGAAGATGTAGAATCTACATTGTAGATGTGTAATCTACATTTCAGATGTGGAATCGACATTATAGATATAGATGCAGATAAAGTTCTACATAAATGAAAAGCACACATATTTATATACTGACTGAGTACTAGTATATTTTGAGTCCACAAAAAAAATATACTTTGGTTTTAAAAAGGTATACAAATATGTTGAGCAACAAAATTTGTTTTTTCGAAATTCAAACGTCAACCACTTAATTTTTGTTATCTTGGGTTAGACAGTAATATAATAATGTTTTTTATTTTTATTTAAAAAGGTTGCTACCGAATTCAAAAAATGTTTGTAGTAAGAAAATTAAAAAAAGTTCAATGAATTGGATAATGCGGTGAAATCTATTGCATACATATCAATACCGTTAATATCGTCATTAATCAATTACAATACCCGACACGATTTTTCCTCAAGGAACAAACCCGACTTTTTCTGATAGATATGGGGCTTAGAAATGGTTTCATGATATTTTGTTTCTATGTCAGAAATTTTTTTTAAAGAATTTTTAAAAAACAGGTATTTTTGTAAAGCTTTTCCTGATTTTTCCTGAGTTTTTAAAGCCATAATTTCGTAAAAAATACCGCACAAAAATCATAATTTTTGCATTTTAATGCTTTATATTTCCCAGACGGTAAGCTGAAATCACAAAGTGTTTGGGCTTACCTTGTAGCTGTTATAATTATCTTTTTAAAATAGCAATACAACCAGACGTAAGATACTAGAGTTACGTGAAAAAAAGAAGCGCTACCTCTTAAAAAAGATTTAAAAAAAATACCAGCCTTCAAAAATTATTCATAAAAAAGTTCTGCCATAGAAAAAAAGAAGTCTTTTATTGTATCTTTAAAATTGTGTCTGCCACAGATTTTCGTCCGTTGTGGGGGCGGGGCAAAATTTTGAAATACACTTGTAGCAGTGTGATATCACATGAGTGTGGAAACCAAATTTGGTTCTCTAACTCTTATAGTCTGTGAAATCTAGGCGCTCATCGAGACGGACAGACGGACGGACAGACGGACATGGCTATATCAACTCGGTTATTGATGCTGATCAAGAATATATATACTTTATGGGGTCGGAAACGTTTCCTTCTCTGCGTTTCACACATCCACTTTTACCACAAATACAATATACCCCTTAACTCTTTTTTGAGTACGGGTATAAAAATAAACATTACACTAAAAATTTGAACAAAATTTTATAATTTTTTTTACCAATAAAGAACAGAATAAGAATAAGGTGAAATCCCGCTTAAAAAAAAAATTGTTTGGTCAAATTTTGGCCCAGACTAATATAATAATAATATTTATTATAATACATATATGATATATGCAGCCCAAACATGGTAAAATTATATATACAAAACAAACATATGTAAATACATACAAAAATATAGTGGTATTGTCTTTCAATAAATCAAAAATATTGAATTCATTGTCTCAGTATCGGGAGTAGAAATTTCCAATAATGCTTTAGTTTTTTTCTTAAGTATATCAATATAATATTATAAAATACAAAAAATAATAAATAATAATTTTACATTATAATATGTATAAAATACATGTGTATTTTAATGAATGGTTTTTATGTCATTTGTGCATATATATTGGACCATTTTTATTTTGCATGGAAGAGTACTGTTCAAAATTAAATTAAGCTGGAAAGAATCACATTCATTTGCGTGTTTTTCCGATTTTCTATTTCATTTAGTCGCGCTTTCATAACGGCCGTATTTGACTGGTCTTGAGACTAATTGTTAGGTTGGTGAGACCTGGAATAAAACCCTTACGTAAAAAGCAAACAGTACGAGCCAGAAGTACATATAAGCGCTGTTGTTTTTATTTTTTGTCTAGCTGGTAGCAGGAAAATGGCAGAATTGTAGTTAAACAGTACATATGTACAATGCGTATTGGTTTAATTTTGTAAATAGCAACATTACTGTCTACAGTGCCTACAGCTTTTATTATACTTAGGTGGAATAGAGCTTATATTTTATATCCAGTAATTAAAGAGTAAAGGGGTATATTAAATTCGTGCAGATGTATGCAGCAGCCGGCAGGAAGTGTTTCCGTCCCCATAATTTACATAAATCCATATATTTTTTATCAACATCAATAGCCGAGTGGATATATCCATATCTGTCCGCCCGCTTAGATATACTGACATAGATTTGTTGTTTTTGGGTATTTATGTATATCAACGGATTTTTAACGATGTTTTTATTTTTGTATTTTTACAGAGCAATGTTATATTTTATTTTATAAAATATTTGTTCCATTAAGATGATTGGGCTTCTACCATTTTTCGTAATCTTTCTGGTTTCATCCGGAATAGATAGTTCTAAATTTCACTGCGTTAACAATTACGGTACGTACTAAAAATTTTCTACATTACATTACAATGCTATCATCGCATTGAGTATTTTAAAAATGAATAGTTTTATAACTGGTACTCAAAGAGTATAGGCGTTTATTAACTGCATTTGAATTGATGTGCTGTTAATAGACATGGAAGCGTTTTCGAACCCATAAAGAATATATATTCTTGATAAAAACCAATAGCCTAGTCTATGTATCCGTGTCTGGCTATCCCCATAAATTGATAAATCTAGTAGCCTCCACAGTTTTAAAGATACGAGTAAAAAATTTTATAGAAATATGTATGTATATATATATTTAAGTTGCGTTCGGACTTTTAATATAGTCAGAATAAACAAATCAAGTTTAAGCGCACTTGTTTTTTGACTCTTTTTACACCTGAGGGATGCTTTCGCAGATCATTTTTCCATAATGATCAATAAAATAACAAAATTGTTTGGTATTCAGAATACTGAATGTACGAGTAAGCCATAAAAGTCAAATCATATATTTTCATTTAAATCTATTTTTAATGCATTTCTCTTATTACCATCTGAGAATTCTTACAGCCGTCTGAACACCCAACCGATGCAGCATCGCGATGGTGTCTTCCCATTGGATGGGTACTTCCGAGGGGAGTTTTTCGAAAAACACTCTTTATGACCCAAAAGTTAAATTTCTTGAAATTAAGCTCAAAAGATTGTTCGAAAATTCTAGTAGATCAAGTATTTTTCTAAAACGGATTAATTCTACTAAAATCGGTGAAGATGACATCCGTGTGTAGGTTTCCTTGAAAGCCTTTTTTAACAAAAGCAGCAAGCTCTAATATATTTTTTGTAGTTTATAGTCGCTCGAGAAATCAATATTGTAATATTGTCCATTTAGTCCCTTTACCAAGAGAAAATAACATTTAATTGTTTTATTATTCATTTGTAGATATTATTTCACATGAACAAGAAATAAATGAATTGGAAATTGGATTACAAATGACCAATCGACCTCTACACCAGGTGATGACGCGTATATTCTTTATGTTTTTAAAAGATGTGTTGGGTTACAGAAATGTTCGAATTGTTCCGATTAATACTTATAATGCATGGACGACGCTGGATTTAGTTAGGTAAAACAATGCGTGATATGTGGTAAATTATATATATTTTTTATGTTGTCATTTTAATCCTAGACGAGATAATAGGTATCCAAATATCAGTATGATTAATTTACAAGCTTGGATGCCATATACTTTTGGTGCTTTACCTGAAAATGTTTTGGATGCGGGTGCCTCTATGACGCTTGGTCGCTTTGGCTGGTTTGTACCAAAATCACAAAATACAAAGGACATGATTTCATACCAAAGCTTACATTACGAAATCTTTAAAAATGTCAACAACACATATTATGATCTTTATATAATGGAAGACAGCGTGATAAATAGACTTCTACAATTTAGCAGGTTTGAAAATATTTTATTTTCTTAGTTACACTCTAAGATTTTGTCGTAAGGATAGTTTTGCAGTTGTTCTGGTACGTACGAGTTTTTCATATACAATATATAGCTCATACACAGATGTCTATTGTATTGTATTTTAAAATTAGTCCACATCAATTTTCAAGCATACCTTATTTATAGAAGTCAGTTGGCAAATGTCAAAGTTATTCAATGTTTACATACCGACATAAAAAATGGCGCATCCAGCATACAATATATGTACAAACAATTTTTCGTTAACATAACTTGAACAAAAAAAAAATCAATACAAAAAATGGCGTTTCACTAGAACGCCATCACAAAAGAGAAAATATTTCAATATTTTGTTATAAGAATATATACATACATATGTATCCCTTAACGTGCGGTCCAGAACTTCCAAAAAATCCTACAGCAGATAAACGTTAAAATTTGTTGGCATGTGTTGGTATACTCGTAGTCGCTTTTTTAAACCATGTATGATTTTATTATTAACCAATTGCTTAGTGCTCAGATGTACAGAAATCCCATCTGCGTTGGATACAAATGTGTAACAATATTAGCAGAGTTCAGAAACGATTCCAGTTTTGTTCAGGATCAGTTGGATGAAACTGCCATGATGGTTAATGTACTTTGGATTGGTGAAAGGTTTAGAGAGACAATTTCATGGCTTATCAAGGATTACGAACAGAAATTTTCCAATGGATCAAAACGATTTATAATTTTGCATTGGTCGCCATCCGAAATAATTGATGGCCAAAACACGTTTCAACAAATTACAATGCCAAGATGTGAAGATTTTACATGCTTGCAGCGCTCAGGTTGCAAATATGAGCTTACTCCCATTTTAAAATACTATGCTAAGAGTTTGGAATCTGACAAGCAACTTATGTATGCACTTCGGTATTTTTATTTATCTGACAAGCATTTGGCAAATATAAGAGAGGATCTAAAGTACTATCGAAACGATCTAAGTATTACTGCTACTGAAATTTACGATAAAGTTGCATGCCATTGGATTTTGACAAATAGAAACTATTACAATTTGTGGAAGGAAAGCAATCAACATATTACTCTATTTATCGGTGGCATATTTCCAATTAATATAACCAATAGAGGACATGAAAATGTTATAAATGTTGCAAAACAGGCTGCATCAGCAATTAATAAAGACCAGACAATACTGCCTGGCTATCATTTGGAAATCTTGGTAAACGATGGGCAATGCAAGTCGGACATGGTCATGAAGTCCTTTATACACTATTACAATGTTCCAAATATGCTGGGTGTTTTAGGTCCAGCGTGTAGCGAAACAGTAGAGCCAATTGCTGGTATTTCAAAACACATGAACATGATGATAATGTCCTATTCGGCGGAGGGTGCTACCTTTAGTAACCACAAAGCCTATCCTTATTTTTTTCGTACAATTGGCTCAAATATGCTGTTTGTTGATGCATATCTCGATATCATGGAGCAATGTAAATGGAGTCGTGTTGCATCTTTAACAGAAGATGAATCCAATGAAAATACGTCTCAAATGGAGAAAAAGTTGAAGCTTCGAAATTTTAATCTTATTACTCATCGAAAATTGCAACCTGTTGTCACTCCCATGGAAATGAAAGAGGTACATATCTTTGCATTAGTTATGAATTTTTGATAACTATCAATTTTTGAATTTTTTTAGCATCTACATAAATTAAAAGAAGCTCATGCTAAAATTATAATTGCAGACATACAAATCAAAAATGCCGCCATTCTTTTTTGCGAAGCGCACAAATTGGGGGTTTGTATAATTAATTTTGAGCTTTTAATTAAATTAGTTTTTATACCCGTACTCAAAAAGAGTTAAGGGGTTTATTAGATTTGTGGTAAAAGTGGATGTGTGCAACGCAGAGAAGGAAACGTTTCCGACACCATAAAGTATATATATTCTTGATCAGCATCAGTCTGTCCGTCCGTCTGTCCGTCTTGTTGAGCGCCTAGATCTCAGAGACTATAAGAGCTAGGGCAACCAAATTTGGTTTCCAGACTCATGTGATACCCCACAAAGTACGAACATCTGTGGCAGCCACAATATTAAAGATAAGATAAAAATAAAAACGCAGTATTGTAGAGAATGACCATGTCTACCTGATTGCCGAACCTTTGCGGACAAGATGTAGAATCTACATTGTGTATGTGGAATCTACATTTCAGATGTGGAATCGACATTGTAGATGTAGATAACAGATGTAGGAAAAAAATGTGAAATGTAAAATATTTTAAAATTCAGCATAAATCATAAGCTCACGAATTTATATACTGACTGAGTACGGGTATAAAAGTAGAGTCGCGTCCAAAGAAGTGACTCACACGTGTCTTCTCGTTATACATTGCTTTTTTTTATAGATGACTCAACAAGATACATATGTTTGGTTTCTGCCACCTTGGCTGCCAAAAGATTTTAAAATGTGGCAAAGTATAGTTAACAGTAGCTGTACTGCGAGTGAGCTCAGAAATGTAATTATGATGTAATATATTATCTTTAACTCAAATTCTTTATGAACATCCTTTACAGGCAATCGAAGGTCACTTTAGTGTAAGGCATACTCCATTTGGTAACCCTGACTCAATAATGCCGGAGGGTAAGCCAATAAGGGCTTGGTTAGATGAATACAGAAACCAATATGGAGAGCTTTCAAACTATGCAGGTTTTACTTACGACGCTGTTTGGGCCTATGCGATCGCCGCACACAAATTGCTTCTTAAGGACCAGTATGCTGTCAATCATTTAAGGAATACTGAGATTGTAAATCGGCTCAGTGAACTAATTGGGCAAACTAATTTTGAAGGTTTGTCCGGTCATGTTTCCTTTGCCCAAGGAGAGCTTGTGGGATCACGTATTATCGATTTGGACATTTTACAGTGGAAAAATGCTAGCTATGTAAAAGTGGGAAAGTTTAAGCCCACCATAAAGGGTAGGGGAGCCGGTATGCATATATGCGGAGGTAATTTATCGTTGAACTTCAACAATATATTATGGTTAAAAGGTGTAGTGCCAGAGGATGGAAGATATGACTGCCGGTTTTCGAGATTAGCTCGTACATTGCGAGTAAACTGTGATACGGCTGCGATGTATTTCGCCATAATATTGTGTTTACTTACAATTTCATTAATATCATTTATATCGTTCTGGTTCTGGAAGAAACGCTATAGCCGTAAGCTGAAACGATCGGCACAGATTATGAAAATGTTTGGGATAGACCTGCTTTCTCCATCGCAGAATAAAATGAACACTTTAGATAAATGGGAAATTCCAAAGGAGAACGTTGTGGTTAACCGTCGTCTAGGGGAGGGTGCATTCGGTATGGTTTACGGTGGAGAAGCACAGATATCTTCTGGCCAGTGGACTGCGGTAGCTGTAAAAACGCTGAAGTCTGGGCAGTCTATGGAAGATCGATTGGATTTCTTGTCCGAAGCAGAGGCAATGAAGAAATTCGATCATAAAAACATTATAAAGCTATTAGGCGTTTGTTTGCAAAATGAACCAATATATACAGTAATGGAGTTCATGTTGTACGGCGACTTAAAAACATATCTATTGGCCCGTAGGAATATGGTGAAAGAAAAGATTACAGATGACTGTGATATTTCATCAAAGCGTCTTACGCTGTATGCTATGGATATTGCATGTGGTCTTGCTTACATAGCTGAAAAGAAGTACGTTCATCGGGACATCGCGCTCAGAAATTGTCTAGTAAATGCCCAGCGTGTTGTCAAAATTGCAGACTTTGGTATGGCTCGACCAACGTTTGAGAGTGACTATTATAGGTTTAATAGAAAGGGCGTTCGTAAGCTTTTTCCCGTTCGTTGGATGCCACCAGAAACACTAGCCTTGGGATTATTTACTCCAGCTTCTGATATATGGTCATTCGGTGTGGTACTCTATGAAGTAATTTCATTCGGCTCGTATCCCTATCAAGGTCTAACGAATAATCAGGTGCTTGATTTTGTAAAGAATGGTAAAACGATGCATATACCGTTCGGAGTTAAGCCGCAACTAGAGGGTCTCTTAAAAGCATGCTGGAGCCAGGAAGCAAGCAAACGGCCTACTGCTTTGGAGGTTGTGGAGTATATTTCCAGCTACCCTCGACTATTAACTCCTACTCTTGAGGTCCCTGCCACTTGTATTGAAATGCCGGAAAGTCAATCTGATCAAATAAAGGAGTGTGAAGAATTGAGCAATTTGACCATTTCGCCCAATGCTGAGCCCGATGCTATATTCAAACCTCTTTGTGATACTGGTTCGTTTACACCAATAACCCCAGATGGTTACAGTATAATGTCTCCACTTTTAATGCCCCAAGGCAATGAACGGTCTAGCTCATATATAAATTAATATTGTATATTTTTTTTTTAAATTTACACACTAAATTTACGCAAACAATAAGAAATCTCCACACAAATAATATCATTAAAATATAACTAATTACTAAGAATCAAACATACATACATTCCTAATATTCAGAGTCTTTGATATGGTACATGAATTTTAAATTAATTAAGCTTCTTATGTTTTAATTTGTGTAATTTGTGGTTTATGTTTACTTTTATCTAATATATGTACATACATACATATATAATACATGTAACCTATACAATACATTTTATACGTAAAAATACGAAAGCGCTGGAATTATTATTTGTCTTTCTTTTGGTATCGTTGTTCGTAAAAGGGTCGAATTGATTTGTTGGTTAATGCGGTGAGAGTGGGGGACTTTGGTAGGAAAGCCAACGCAAAATCTTAAAATACACTTGTAACAGTGTGATATCACAGAAGCTTGGATACAAAGTTCCGTTGATCTAGTTCTTATGGTCTCTGAGGTCCAGAAGCACATCGGAGATGTGCCACAAATTTTTGGCATTGTGAAGCCTGTACAGGGTACCTGTACTTGATTTAATGTGATATAATAGGAGTCTGCACACAAAATTTGGTTGCTCTAACTCTTAAGGTCTTTTACGGATAGACGGACAGACTCTCTTTCTCTCTCTCAATTATCTCAAATTATACGGTCAGAAACCTTTTCTTTTTGTTGGCTGTGTTAGTGCCAAAAACAAACAGAAACCAATTCATAGCCTTGGTTGATTACGTCGCATTAACCTCACGTTTTCCTCGCTTCCAATGAGCCGTAGCAGCAAAGATGTGTTTATTATCCTCTAAAAAACTAGATAATACTATTCTGTTAGAGGAGTCCTCACACAAAAAAAATTGGGTTCTCAAAAAACTGTTGTTTCATGTATTTCTTTATAGCTGAATTTGGAAAAACGGCATTTTATCAACATATGCAAATTTCTGGGATGTTACACTTAAGTTCACGCTTGTTCGGCTATTTGACGTACGGTTTAAATGGTCTCTCCGCAGGAGTCGAATAACCAGTTTTCATGTTTATTCTGACATAAAAAATATCTGCACGGATATACACTATCAGTAAGGCACACAATACTATTTTCAATTTCAATTTATTTTCTGGCACGAGATAGACACTACTTAATAATTTCAAGAAATCTGATTCAGGCAATCGGGCAAAAATTGAAATTAAGATATGAAAATGTCTTTGTCATGATTTTCTATCATATTTCAGGTGGATTTTTAAGCCAAGAATGTTTAGATGAGCTTAGTTTAACTTTTATTGATGAAGCACCATGTATTGCCAATGTAAAAAACTGATATAGCGAATTCAACAGTTGACGTTCTTCGTTGCAGGACGAATTTCATGAAGGTAGTTTAAAATGAATTTTCAAAAAAATGCGATCGTGGTGCTTTAAAATATGTTTTTAACATCTATACAGGTGACGAGTCGTGAATGTATAAATATTAAATCGAAACAAAATCAATAATTGAAGCAATAATAATTGTTTTGCTTTAAGGTATGCGGAATGAAATACGAACAAAATTTAACATGTTCTCAATAAGTTCCAAAGTTCCGTAAAGTCTGAAATTGCGTGTCAAAAAATACAATGTGAGCGATAAAACTGTGAAAAAGTATGAAAAAGACATGGGAGTGATGAAATGTTCTAAAAAAACCGTTCCTAAAGTCATAGAAGTACAGCGAGAGAATAAAACGTGGGCTGCGTGCTCTTTCTGGAAATTTGTTTTCTGCAAGCTTTTCACAGCTTTTCCGAAATATTACTTTTAGCTTTCTAATACTCAGATTACATCAAAAAAGTTTCCTAAAAAGGTTTTATTGGTGCTGGCCATAAGCGAGCGGGGAATCAGCGATCCTCTCTCTTTTCTAAAGTAGGATTGGCTGTGAATGCGCAAAATAGCAAGGAGAATTGTCTTCCGGCGATTAAAAAATGTATTGATAAGTATCATGTGAATGATAATACGGTATTTTGGCACGACTTAGCGTATGCGCAATGTGCCAGAACAACTCTGGAAGCTCTTGACCACTTGATAATTAAGTTTATGCCTAGGCTGCAAAACGCTCAAAATGTTCTTCAGTTAAGGCCAATTGAAAAGTTTTTGGCAATTTTGAAAATAAATGCTTACAGCAAGGGATATAAGCTAAAAAAAATCGACTGGTTAATATTCAAAATCGCTGTGGCTCCACACCCTCACGGAATAACTAGCAAATTCCTGGGAGGAGGAATTTTCCGCGGTGTTGAGACAGGCCTTTAAGTGAGACTTAAAGGAATAATTTGGACCTCGATGCGCGAGGGTCAAACATTAACGGATTTGAAAATTTTGATTTTCCATTAATCCTGAATCCCTTAAAACAACTTTTTATAACCGGGCCGATTTAAGATTAAACAAATTTGAAAGTTCGGCCCACTATAATATGTATGTATGAATGTATACGACATAAAGTATGTAGATATGTACTCCATGTACATAGTCATACAAAGAAATGTAAGCTGTAATATGCCTTAACTCTTCGAAGTAAAAGAGATAATTTTAAAGTTAGCTACTTCATATGCACAGAGAGTGTATTTATTTAATATGAATAAAAATACATGTAACTCACATTAAATGTACATCCAAACTCCTGGGTTTTGTATGCTTGGCACAAAACCACCCACACCACGAGTATACTACTCCATCGCATACATACTCCCCGGCCCTGGTGCACACACATTGTAAATCCTTGAATTAAGAAACAATCATAATAATCGCACTCAGCGCACGTAATTATGAAATCCACATCATAGAGCTCCCGCCTCGGCACTGGCTGCCAGCGCCACCAGCCCATTTCTCTGTCTCCTTTTCGAATAGCGCCGCATTTTCCACAAAAAGAGCCGCGGCAAGTGCACAACGACATTATGTTGCGCTCTGCCGCACTAATGCAATGGTCTAGCAACAGCCCTAACAGCAACAGCCAGGGCATGCTAGATAAAGTGGCAAAAAGAAGGAAACAGAGGGAGACAGAGAGAAGGGAATCGGGGATCGAATGCAAGGCGAGAACGCGGTTAGATGAAATTTCACAGTCATCATTAGTCGTTGAGCGCTGCTAATGCATCGGGTGGCTCGGAGGAGGATGGCGGGATGTTATCACGCAGCTTCTCCAACAAAAGCCACTGTCAGATGCAATTCAAAACCAAACGGATGAAATTGTTTCATGCTTCATAATAAAAATTCTAAATGAAACAAAAACAATAGATAAGAAACTAAATGCGGGCACTGTGCGTTGACTTAAAAAAAATGGATACACACTCAAATAGTGTGTAGTTTTTGAGAGCTGGATAATTCGTTGATAGTGTTAAGATACCTACATACAAAAATGGCACATGTACTTTTGTATCTACATACATACGTTCCATCTCAGTAAGCAACATCCCTGAAAATTTTCCGACCCATGCACTGATTTGTAAATGAAGATGTACACATGAAAGTAAATACATACATATCTAACTGGCGTAATTAGGCGTTTCCGATTGCATTAATTACATACATATATTAATATTTATTCTTGGTCAACAGTCGGTTTGACGTTGCCACCTTAGCCTGTCTGTTTATATCAGCGTAAAGATTCAAGGCACCAAATTAGCTATGACGATGTGATGTCCATATGTATGTAGATTCTCGTATATATGTACATATGTGATTACCCAAACTTAAAGCATATTTTTACTTCATACATATGTACATTAAAGTAAATGCACGTTCATATCTATAGATAAAAACAGTTTTAATAAATTCTATGTTAGTACATACATTCTGATGTTCACTTACCTAAGTACATAGTAGTTGCTATATAAAAATAGATGTATACAATAAATTGTTAAATAATATGTTTTCTGCTTTCGTATATTCTGAAATTAAAAGTTTTTGATTCACAGAGAATCTCCTAGTAATTTTAAGCACATTAAAGTATCCTTAATAAGCCCATTAATATGAATATGCACAATTTTCTTCGTTTTTATGTTAAATGAACTTTGCCATTTGAATGCTGCAAATGGCTGGCAAAATAGTTAACAAAATGCAATTAAAATGGTGCAATTATAATTATAATTGGGCGCAGCATAATGGTGCACAGTATTCAACTGACAGGAAGCAGTCAAAAGCAACCGACCCTCAACGCTTGGCTTGATTTTGAGTGTTGGTAAGATTGAGCACAAAAAGAACACCGTAGGCTAAGTAAATCTAACAAACGTTAATTGCTGCAAAAACCTATTCTTTTCATTCATACATACATACATATATACGCCATTTTTCAAATTAGAGCAGACGGAGCACTTTTTCAAGCTTATGTTCATGATTTACAGTAATTTGTTTAGAATTTTTTCCAAATACATATGTACATTTTACATACATTAGCAGCAATACTCAACACTGACTAAAAAACACCCGCTACACAGATTTATAAGTATAACTTAATAAAATAGCTAATACGACTACACAAGAAGATATGTAGCTCTCCCCTGCCTAGGGGATATTGGACAAATAGGATATAGAATAAGATATACGACAGCGTCGAAATAATGCGTTTATCATTATGGCTAATCAAACTATACGATCGCAATGCTATTTGGTCGATCGGTAGATAATATTCATTTCTAAGTATTTTAAATGTACTAAAAAAAAAATGAGATAATATTTTCTAAATATCTGCTCGAAGCAGATATGTATGTAAGGCAAGAAACCAACCAATCATTCTCTTTCTCGCTCGAACACTCTGCCGCGTTCAGTGCGCGAGCAACCCCTAGCGGAGTAGATGTAGAATATAAATGGAACATGTATAATCTACATGTTACATGTATAATATACATAGTATATGTAGATGTAGATAACAGATGTAGCAAAAAAATGTTAAATTAAAATTTTTTTTTTAAGTTTTAAAATTCTAAAAAATTATAAGCTCAAGAATGTATATACTGACTGAGTACGGGTATAAGTAGAGTCGCGTCACCATAAGCGACTCACTTCTCGTTCTTAATAGATTTTGGGCTTAAATCATGGTTGGTGTTTTTTTTTTTCTATGGAAGAACTTTTATTTGAAAATTTTGGAAAACTGGTATTTTTTTAACTTTTTCAGAGGTAGCGCTATTTTTCACATAACTTAAGTATCTTAGATTTCGTTGTAACAAAATTGGTCATACTAAAAAGCTAAGAAATGCAGCTATAAACAAGACCCAAAAATTTTGTGATTTAACCTTTGGAATGCAAAATTAGGATTTTTGTGCATTATTTTTTACGAAATATTGACTTTACAAACTCAAGAAAAGTCGAAAAAAAATAGATAGCTTTTAGTAGCTTATTTTGTTAAGAACAGATGCCGCTAAAAAGTTTAGGTCTGAAAATAAAACCATACCATACGAAAAATGTTTTATTTTATAAGGCAAAAGTTGCAGGAACTCTAAAAATGTTAGAAAATTTAAACTTTGATTCGCTATATCTTCATATATATCTATTCTATCACCACGAATAAAAAATCCTCGTGCAAGGTGGCAAAATTTTCTTGTCAACGTTATGTTTTTTCTTGAAATATGAAGTTAAGATTTTGAGTAAAAATTAGGAAAAGGCCAAAAACATTGGGGGCAGCAAGCGGTAAAACAATTTTAGATCCGCCGTCTCTCCAGAGATTTTATTGAGCAATAAACGACGCCCAAAACCAAGGATATATTTTTTTTTCGATTTTTCCGTAGTTTTTAAAATCAAAATTTGTAAAAAAAATTACAACAGAATGTAAGATACTTAAGTTATGTGACAAAAAGACCTCTGAAAAAAGCTTAAAAAAATACCAGACTTCAAAAATTCTTTAAAAAAATTTAAAGCTGCCAGTCTATCAAAAAAGTTTAGTTTGGTCAAGTAGTGTTATCAATGTCTACGTTGTTAATTTTTATCATGAATGTGTTTTTATCATTAATATTGTTAATGTCCTTTATATAGGCGCAAGGGTGCCGGTCGAAATTTCGAAATAAGCTTGTGACAGTATCACACGCACGAGTCGGAATAAAAGAGTCAGAGCTATTGCATTTTATAAACACGGTGATTCGATGCTCATGTATTAAACCTCATTTAGTTTGCTTACATTTTCTTGGCTGTATTCCATTTTCATTAGAGTCCGATTTATTGATGAGACTCCACATATGGTCGCCTATCATATTGTTATACCAAACACTTTGAGGCAGTTGTTCCATAGATTTTAATTTCTGGCTCCGTGTTCATCACTAACGTTCTTTAGGTTAAGTCCAAGTTTATGTTTACTTAAATTTATTTTCAATTCTTGATCAAGTTTTCGACGATATTAAAATACTCATTACTCGTGTTATTACCCAGACAGTTTGTTTTAGCCCGTCAAACTTCAAATATGTAGCAAAACGATTCAGGTATTAACTTTTGTACAATTAGCAATAAACTCTACAATTACTATAAAATTAGGTCAATTAATAAAAACGAATAATACAAATAAACAAAATTACACTTCTGAGCACCAGTTGCATAGCTATATCCAATTAACGGAAGATTTTCATATTGTATTATAATATATTATTTTATATTATATTCTATTATAATTTATTATATTAAATTTTATTATATTATATTATATTATATTATATTATTATTATTATTATATTATAATCGATGGGTAGTAAGGGAGGGGGCTGCTGTGGACCAGGTACTAGTTGTGACCCACCCCCCCAAAAACTTGGACAGCAAGCAGATACTACTGATCTGAGTATTGGGAGTCGAATTCGATAACAATACGCAGCTTTTGTACTAATACCAAAACAAATAGCTACTTTGGTCTAGGTGAAGTGAGCATAAAACAAAAAATGGGGGAAAAAAAACTTAAAAGTAAATTTTACTACTTTTTAGGTTCGAAAAAATGGATGTAAATTTTGTCCAAAAATGTTACTGTTTCGTTTTCTCTTTCAGTTTGGTCATTGTAGTTTGTGAACTATTTTCGTTTTCAACCGAAAAATATGCATAACATATTTTTTTGGTCTTTTGGAAAAATTGTCTGTTAGGCCCGGGTATGACACACGCCATGATACATGTTGTGGACACCCTGTTTTTTTTTGTATTAAATGCGTGTGTCTGGTTGAGAAATTGCATTATATCGTTATTTATGGTAATGTAGTACAAAATAATAACATTTAAATCACTGTGGATCTTCAACTAGCTGCCTATCACTTTTGGAAAACCAGCATCTAAGCGAACTAAGGCTCTTTCGGACGATGATCAGGATTTTTGCATCATCTGTCTAAGCCTTCTGCCAAGAAAATTGCCCTCCGCAAATTGAGTCGAATGCATTAAATGTAATCGTCTTGTGCATATGAAGTGCGCTAATATGCGTGCCATTGGTACACATATGTTTGTATAATATGAAATTGGTCAAAAGTTATGAGGCAAAAACAAAACTATGTCCACAACCGGGCCCTCTCCCTTACTATATTCTCCTCTGCTGAGCAAAACATTCACATTAAGGTTAAGTTCTGCAGTTCAGTGAAATCTATCCAATACAATTGCAAGTATGTGAATAAAGGCAGCGATATGGCTGTGTTTCAAATTCAAAATGCTGATTTGAGTGATTCGCGATTAAATGAAAATAATACGAGAATATGTTTTTTTTTATGGATATGAATGAAATATGAATGAATGAATAAAATTATATAGAAGACTTGTGGGCTGGCGAACGAGCGAAGCGAGTGAGCAGGGGGCTTTCCCCCTAGTAACATATAAAATATTCTTGTGTAAGATTAATTAACACAGCCCACAAAAAAAAAATTTGTGTACTTATCTGGTGGTCTCACTATATGTACTTTATGTAAATCGCCAAAAAATTCTTCGACTTTTACAACAGAAGGTTCAATGAGGCCCCATACTTTTGCGACGCTTAACATTGCTCCGTTGCGAATATCAAATACAAAACAAAAAGAAAACGAGAGTGGGAGCTTATGATTTATGTGGAATTTTCAATTATTTTATCAATTGACATTTTTTTGCTACATCTGACATCTAAATCTAAAATTTAGATTCTACATCTCCTCGGCCAGAGGTCACACACTGCAGTGTGTGTGAGCGAGAGAGAGAATTGATTAATTTAGAATGTATAATTATTTCTTCATCGTTGATTAAAACTTAATACAACTTAATATACATATAAAAGTCATTCTGCTATTCAAGAAAAATTGATATTGACTATAACTGTGCAAAATGCGTCGAAAAGACGCAAATGAAATATATATATGACTGATTAATGAATTGACACCATTGCCAGTGCAATTGAGCTTGTGATCTTTTTATAAACAATTTGTATTCATACCAACCTCAAAATTTGACCTGAGAAAATTGTTCAGGACCACAATAAATAGTAATTCGTCCGAACAGCTATGGCATCCCGATTTGGTTATCGATAAATCTCTGTTAAACATAACAGAGCCATTTTTGTATAAGCTGGATCTAACACGTGGGTATAACAGCAGTAAATTTTGCGCTTAACAGTACAGGAAGAAATAAAGCTTACTTTTGCGAATGTCAGAGCGCCTTTAAATGAAAATTATAACTTTTGGCTGATAAGTAAACCGCAAAAGTAAGTGAAAGGAAGGCTCCGCCAGGCTACGGTGCCTGAATAGGATTATTATTTTTTTATACCCGTACTCAAAAAAGAGTTAAGGGGTATATTAGATTTTTGGTAAAAGTGGATGTGTGAAACGCAGAGAAGGAAACGTTTCCGACCCCATAAAGTATATTTATTCTTGATCAGCATCAATAGCCGAGTCGATATAGCTATGTCCGTCTGTCCGTCCTTCTGTCCGTCTCGATGAGCGCCTGGATCTCAGATACTATAAGAGTTAGAGAAACCAAATTTGGTTTCCAGACTCATGTGATATCCCACTGCTACAAGTGTATTTCAAAATTTCGCCCTGCCCCCACAAAGGACGAAAATCTGTGGCAGTCACAATTTTAAAGATACGATAAAATTAAAAACGCAGTATCGTAAAAATGATCAAATCTACCAGATTGCCGAATCTGAATCAGATCGGATCATAATTATAGCCAGAAAGAAGATATTAATTCTCAGTTGCTTCCCCCGTCTACTTCAGCCAGAGAGTTACTGATTCTCTTTCTCGCTCGCACACTCTGCCGCGTTCAGTGCGCGAGCATCCCCTAGCGGAGGAGATGTAGAATCTAAATGGTAAATGTATAATCTACATGTTAGATGTAGAATATACATTGTAGATGTAGATACCAGATGTAGCAAAAAAAAGTAAAATGTAAATTTTTTTTTAAATTTTATAATTCTAAATAATTATAAGCTTAAAAATGAATATACTGACTGAGTACGGGTATAAGTAGAGTCGCGTCCCCAGAAGCGACTCACTCGTTCCTTCT